AAAATAACTTATAGGGAAAAAAATTAATCTCCTTATGTCATAACATGTTTTTTCACTAAAATGGCATATACGTATGTCCTCCACCAATACCAAATTCAGCTTCTGGCAGTTTCCCAAAAAGAAAACCACTAGACTGGGGACATAGCAAAGGCAGAAGCCAAGTTGCTTGTATTTAACTTTCATCAATTTAGAAATTAGTATAACTAGCAGATAGCAGACGCTCAGTAAGTAACTGGCAGATGATGAAGTAAATAAATGAAAATGATCAAGAGTTTTACCAGATATGTATGGCTGGCGTGAAAGCAGTTTCAAAAGAAGGAATTGCAAACCATCTGCCACAGCCATACATAACTGAATAACTGGCTAACTTTCCTAGGTGATTATTTTGAAAGGGCCATAATTTATGTGGGCAGGTCTGTTACATCTAAATTACATGTGACATAAGAATCTTAGGAAGATATGCAAAGAATTACCACTATTATATTGTTATTAATGTATGATTAGGTGAGAACTATTAGGACAAAATGGAATAACTGTTCTCTGTTCTCTGATTGATGTGTAGCTATCTATTTTGTAAGTATGAATATTTTTATATATCAAGTTTTCCTACAGCTGAACATTAGGAAAAAAATATTTTTCTACTCTGTTGTAACTATTCAATTTTTCATAAACCTACTGTTCAAAAAAATTGTTTTCTCATACACTTTTCTCATGTATATGGCTACTGGTTTTATAGCTACCCTGTTTAACAATCACTTCTTTAGGTTATTTTTGTTTATAGTTTCTGGATTTTGACAAGCAAGTAGAAAACCACACTGTGACTATTCCTTATACTTTGAATGTGGGTGTTACTAGGAAGATAATGAAAAACAGACACTTCTGCAATGAGTTGAGCCTTCCTCACTAAAATGCATTTGTATTATAGATGCAATAAAAGTGAAAATATGTTAGAAAAAACATTTTATGTTCTCATTGATCTTTCAGATGAATTGGCAGTTGCAAGGATGAACAGTTTCAAGAAGATCAACCTTTATGTGTTGGTATTTGGAATACCAACAAATGCAGTTTTATTGGGTCAATTTTTTATGAAGTGAATGGCTTAGGTGGCTTAAAACTAAGAGGTACAAACCCATTCATACAGACTATGTAAGAAGTCCATACATTCAATGTTAAGAAGTCCTAAGAAGAGATTTATTTTTATACAGGATATAAATCAGGGCTTTATTAACTAAATGGATAGTGGTTTTAAAAAGTTAAACTAAAAAAAGAATTCATATACTATGTTACCACCATTATTAGTTAAACAAAGCTGAACCCCATTTTGAGGTGATTCACTTTTTCTAATCTCCATTTAATCTCTCTTACATCACCCCACTCTCTTCAGCCAACCATATGGGTGGTATATCTTTCCACACTTGCTTTGTTTCATTAAAGACTTGTCCTGCTCCTGACATATTTACTAGGGATAACTGTTAAGGGAAAAATATGACATGGCAGATTCACTTGAAGTCAAGAATTCCTATTAAGCATGATGACTTCTCTTTGTACAACTCAGTAATTCTTATCAGGCCAAAAATGGCAGAGGGTTTCAGTTTAATTTTTACTCAATTATTACTATCACTTCTATGACATAGGTCTATATCTAAAAGGTCATTTTTAGTTTCATCAAAAATTAGTGCTGGTACATTAACGATCAGCCTAATGACTCTATTTGACAGATGAAGAAACTGAGTCTCAGAGAGGTAAGTATTCTAGCCAATGCCGGAAGATCTGAGTCTTTGATTTCTCAGAACTGGAAAGAGAGAATGGTTTCCTCATAACACCACACAGCTCAATCATAAGTGAGCTTTTTACAGCATAAAATGTCTCATTCCAATATAATATCAAAGTTATATCACTAGGACATACACTCAGCTTAATCTCAGCTGAGCCACTGTATTTAAGACATTTAAACACTTATTTATCTGAAGCATGGCTGTTTTGGACTTCTGGCTCATAACTGCAAAGTTAACTTTCTGTGCCATCACTTCCTGTGTTCCATGGCCACACATCACCCTAGACAGGCACTTCATGGCGCTATCACCAATGGAACTGGAAGAAGAGTGTTAATAGTTAGCAAAACCCACCTCAACTGCCAAGTAACTACTAGGTTCTGTTGATGAATTAGAACTATCATTCACATATAACTGAGTTAAAAGAAATCATTGGGTAAGGCCTGTATTATCCTCATTTGGAATCTAGAATATAAAACAGCGTTTTGTCTATATGATAAACACAGATATACAGTAAATAAACAAGAAGCAACAGTACTGCCATATCCCAATGTTTCCCTTAAAATGACCAGGATTGTTATTAACACTAATAAAATTAATACATCTTGCAATTATATTTCTGGGGAAACAATTTATTCCCATGATGGTAACCTCAGTATTATGCATATATCTTGAGATGTCCTATTTGGGTATTCCTGAGTGAAATTAATTTTGACTTAATGAGAAGGCATATCACGTCACTCCCCTGTTTAAAAACCTTCTTATGGCTTCTAAATAAATTCATATTGAAATGCAAATACCTTACTCTGACCTCCAGTGCCCATACTTCTGCCAACTTCCCTGGCCCCCTGTCGAGCCCAGATCCTCTCATCACTCTCCACTCACTCTGACTTGCATACAAGAACTGGGGGTACTGGCCAGAAGTGCAAGAGTGGTGATAAGATTCACCAGAGATAGTGGGGAGCAGAACAGGCAGACTAACGAAGTCACTGCTGAGGGGAGCAGTGGGCAAGACAGTAGAGGTCTGCTGCACCATGTGAGTTGCCGCCCTGGCCGAGATCAAACTTGTGCAGCTAGCTTCCCAGTGCTGTGTTTTAACCCACTGAGCCACCAGGGAGGGCCTGGTTACACCTTCTTGATTGCACCAAACTTGTTCCTATCTTCAAGCATTCTTCTGCAAAGACTTCTCCCACTACCTTTCCTGAGCTGGTTCACTGGCATATAAAGTCTCTTCTAAGATAGCATTTCCGTTTAAAAGTCACTACTGACTAGCCTACCTAGCACCTCCTTTCCTATGAGTTATTATCTTCCCTGCTCTAGTTCTAACTAGATTTATTGCTTCTAAGAGTGTATTATGGCTTCTTGTCTGTCTGTCCTGGAACTTGATGACAGGGGCACTGCTGTATCCTCAGGTTTAGAACAGTGTCTGAAAAAGTACTCAATAAATACTGGGAAATCAATACCTAATATATGATCAGAACAGGAAATGGTAATCTACACTAGGAGTGGGAGAAAGTCGTCAACAAGTTTAACTGTGATATATGGAAACAGAAGAAAAGGTAGAGGGTGCTATACAGTTTTTAATCCATATAAATTTTGGTACATTTTGCTGTATTACAGAGACAATGAAAGTGTCAAAGAGAGGTGTCTGATGAAGAAAACTCCACAAATGGACACACATGGGGAGGGAGTGACTTTAAACAAACTTTCATGTGAGAGGTATATCAGATAGATGCAGTTATGGGCAAGCAATCAGTGCAGTAGCAAGGACCCAGGAGAGCTCCTACCTGAGTCTATACCATCTCTGAAGGAGAAAGAAATAGATAAGATATGGGGAGAACAATAAATTTTAGAATAATTGATGGAAATAACAGAGAAGATGGGAACGGAAGAGCGAAATGTAAGTAGTGGGAAATTTTAGTGTTTAGGAACTTTTAGTGTTTAGTGTTCAGCACAGAGTAAAGAGAACCTGCCAGGCAGCAGTAGGTGAAAGGGCTTTCAGCAGCTTATGGCTAGAAAGCGAGGCGCCACAATTAAGAAAGTTAAATATAGGGTATAGAATACACATTTTAAGATACTTATTTAAAGTATTAAAAATGTAACTAAAAGGTGATAATGGTGAAAGACAGAATGTTTTTGCTCTAAGATCAGGAACAAGAGAAGAATGCCTGCTCTTATCACTTCTATTCAACATGGTACCAAAGATTTTAGCCAAGGTATTTTAGCAAGAAAAAGATGATATCCAGGCTGGAAAAGGAGATGACACTATTTTCTATATATAAAACCCCAAGGAACCTACAAAAACCTAGTAGAGTTAAAAAATGAGCTAAGACAGGTAGCAGGATAAGATAAAAAATTATCTATATTCTATACACTCACAATGAACAATCCAAAAATGAAGTTGAGTTCAACCGGCAATAGCATTAAAAATAAAAATATTTAGGAAAAGATTTAAGAATTACAAAACTTGAATGCTGCAAATTATAAAATATAATTGAAAAATTATGCAAATGACCTATTTAAAAATTAGGCAAAAGATTTGAATAATATTTCTGAAGCTACACAAATGGTCAACGTGCACATAAAAAGACAGTGAATGTCATTAGTTATTATGAAATCTATATCAAAACAAAAATGAGATACAATTTATACCTCCAATGCTATAATAATTTAAAAATCCCACAATAGCAAGTATTAGCAAAGATGCTGAGAAACTGGAGTCCTTATATACTGCAGCTGTGAATGCAAACTGTGTAAAATGTATTGGAATAGTCTGCCAGCTACTCAAAAAGTTAAAAATGATTTACCCATGAAATTTCATTCCTAGATATACATTCAAGAGAAATCAAAACATGTCCACACAAAAACCCATACACAAATAGATACAGCAGTTTACTATTCAAAATGCCAAAAAATTAGAACACCTGAAATGCCCATCAAGTAATGAATAAAGCAAGCAAATGTGGTGTATACAACAAAGGACTAGTATACAGTCAGAAAACAGAAGTACTGATACAAGCTACAACATGCCTAAAACTTGAAAAGAATCTTCTTGAATAGTAAATGTCATACTACCCATATGGTTGTTAAGACTTTTAATTCTTTTTTTTTTTTAAAGATTTACTTATTTATGCATAAAGAACTGGGGTACAGGCCAGAGATGCGGAGGGTGAGAGGCTTCACCAGAGACAGAGTGGGGAGCAGAACAGGCAGATCGTGGAAGTACACTGCTGAGGGGAGCAGCGGGCGGGTCAGGAGAGGTCTGCCGCGCCATGTGGTCACCTCCCAGGCAGGCAGGATCGAACTCATGCTGAAGTGGCTTCAGCTTCTTCGTGCTGTGCTTTAACCTGCTGCACTACCAGGGAGGGCCCAAGACTTTTAATTCTTGATATCTACTATGACCAACATGCTTTATGGTATGATGGCATAAATGCTGGCTCATTAAAAATCGTTAGAGGGCATGAACTAACTGCCTCAGTAAAGTATTGAGAATCCCCCAAATAAACTAAATATATAAAATATGTTGCATATTAATAGGACAGTCATTGAAAAACAAAATTTAAAGACTGCTTTGAATTAAAATGGGTAAACAATAATGATGATGTCATCATATCACAGACAGCGCACCAAAAAGGCTATATTCTGCCATTATATTGAGATCAAGAAAGAATTACTAAAATGAAAATGAATCAAAAATAAAGAAGTAAAGGGCTAGAATCTAATGAGAACTAAACATATCTTGGTTAAACAGATGTGTTGAAAAACAATTTCTTATCTTGCAATTAAGAACTGATTTCTTTCTAAAAGACACAGGACATTGGGTTAATAGATTTCTTTAAAAGAAAATCTGCTTTGGCTATTGAAACATTAAAGAATAGAACATCTGGTTTGCAAGTAAAGACAGATTGTATGGAAGAATCAAATATCAAACTACCAATTAGACTAACATTTAATCTATTCTATTTAAATTTTCAATAAAAGTAAATGAAATTACATTCTTGAAATCATAGCTCAGCTATAAATATTTAACACCAGAAACCCCTAACACTAAAATGTTTTTAATATAAGGGAGATAATAATTAGTATATTTTAATTATTTTAAATTCTAGTCTACATCTATATTGAAACCAGATTTTAAAATACTATACACCTAAAATCATTTTTAAAGTATTGTAAAAGGGAAAACTCACCATCCATGAATTCTGTACATATTGAAATCCTGTTTTCTACAAAAAATGCACCATAAAACCCTATGATATATGATGAATCACACTGTAACAAAAATAAGATAAAAGTAATTAAAAATTTGCAAGCCAATAACATAGGCGTGCTTTATAAGGGAAAATGACCAAGAGAATTACCTTATAAAGAATTTCCAATTCAGACATAATTTGCTTCTGAAGTTCCAGTGTAATATCTAGCAGTATAACCTAAATACAGAAAAGAATCAATGTTTGCACTTTTATTCATCTTTAAGTTAACTATAGCTATATTAACTACGAAAAACAAAAACTTAAAATATAGTAGTTCCTTTATTTATTTCCCCATTCTCCTCCTTGCCACTATTATTCCCAGTAATACAAACTGTATTCCCATCTGTCTAATCCTTTGTATTGGGGGAGGTGGTAGAGAAGTGATTGATGGGACCAAGGAAAAAGCCAGGTCTCAAAGGTCAGTATTAATGGCTTTAAAAGTCAGTTAAGTTATAACACCCTTAATTTATATGCCCTATTTTGGTCACATTGCCTTTTTTCTTGGAGAGGAAGATAGAAGTGACCCCAAAACCATTAAAAAGGAATGGTCTTGTAATTTAGACACTAGGTGATAAGCAGAGAGAATGATAAGCAAAATGACACTTAAGGTATAGTTTTTAATTTTACGAGAGGAAAAAGAGAAGTTTTAAATATATCATTTAAAAAGATAGTTTTCTAGCTGGGGAATGTTTGTTTGCTAATGCTGCTATAAAACTGAGAGCGTGAAGGACCCTCAGGAATTATTTCACTAATCCCCTTCTTTTAGAGGAGGAAACCAAGAGCATATCTGAGGAACTGGGAGGACTAGCAATATCAGGGAACCGCCTGGTATGTCCTGATGCTTTGTGGTTTTTCTTGAAGCACCAACCACTGGGTCAGATTTGTAACATTAAACACAAAATCGTTTATTTATACATTTATCTAAAATAAAGTCTGTTACATGTCAAATACCTACTTTGGAAAAAAGAACACCAACCTTTCAAATAGGACTTAGCACGTCAGTGAAACCAACTCAAAGGAAGTTGTTTTTTACTTTACAAAGACAGTGATGAGAATAAACTAGCTGGGGAATAATTTTGAAGATTCTTAGCGGTTTCAGATTCTAGCCATTTCTTGATAAAAACTTAACATTCAGGTTACCACAATAATGTAGAATACACCAACTGACTGGAAACAACATGTTGTATTACAACCACAGAATACTGACAACGATACACAGTAGGGAGAAAAACAAACAAACACTGATATGGAAACTGCCGATAGAGTAAGGAAAGAAAAAGGTAATTCTACAACACATATTTTACAGTATTGACATTTATTTGGAGGAAGGTAGAGGTGGGAAAAGGCACAGTGAGTTTCTTTGGGCTTATTTATAAGTCCTCACTGGATTTTAAGTGTAATATATTGATAAAATTTCCAAGAAACATTTAAACATTTCTTCCAAAAGATGGCAATTTGCCACAGATAGTCATCTGTATTTTGATCCTGTATAAAACTTAGCAACAAAATTTTTCATCAAATTGCTATAGTTCTTTACCTGAGATATTAGAAATAAGCACATGACTATGACAGGGATAGAGAATCATTCATCCTAAAATACTCCCTGCTAAAAGGAATGAAGTTACTGTAACCTTACAGCAGTGATTCTCAGCACTGGCCTTGAATTCTAATGTTCTTTATATAAATGTATTATATATCCATATATTTATTTTATATATATGTACTTTATATAATATCTGTATCTTTTTAATCTACTACTTTGCCTTTGGGCACTTTGTTTCCATAGCTTGGTCATTATAAATATTGCTGCAATGAACACAGGAGTGTATATATCCCTTCAAATTAATATTTTTGCATTCTTATGGTAGAAACCTAGGAGTGGAGTTGCTGGCTCATATGGTAGATCTATTTTTTTTTTAAAGAAGATTTATTTATTTATGCATACAGAGCTGGGGTACAGGCCAGAGGTACAAGGGCGGTGAGAAGATTCACCAGAGACAGAGTGGGGAGCAGAACAGGCAGATTGATGAAGCACACTGCTGAGGGGAGCAGCAGACGGGTCAGGAAAGGTCTAAGACGCCATGTGGGTCACCTCCCTGGCCAGGGATCAAACTCATGCTGAAGTGGCTTTAGCTTCTTAGTGCTGCGCTTTAACCAGCTACGCCACCAGGGAGGGCCCAGTAGATCTATTTTTAATATTTTGAGAAGCCTTCATTCTGTTTTCATAGGAAGTGGACCAGCCTACACTCCACTAGCAGTGTAAGAGAGACTCCACTTCCTCCACATCCTCAATAACACTTGCTGCTTCTAGTTGGGTAATGTTTCTTTCCTAATTCTGCTATAAAATGCAGAGTGTGAAGGACCTTCAGGAATTATTTCACTTAATCCCCTTTAGATATGTTCTGTTCCCATGGGTGTGAAGTGGTATCTCACTGTGGTTTTGATTTTCATTGACCTGGTAAGTAATGATGAGCATTTTTCATGTCCCTGGTGGCCATCTATATGTCTACTTTGGAAAAGTGTCTATTAGCTCCTCTGTCCACTTTTAAATAGGTTTATGTATTTTGTTATTGAGTTGTAGGAATTCTTTGTAGATCTTGGCTTTTGGTCCCTTGTCAGGTATGTGTAAATATCTTTTTCATTCAGTAGGGTGTTTTTTCGTTTTAATGATCATTTCTTCCACCGCACAGAAACTTTAGTTTGATATAGTCTCATTTGTTTTATTTTTGGTTTTGTTTCCCTTGTCATTGGAGTCAAATCCCTGAAGACAGTCCTAAATCCAGTGTTCTAGAGTATTCTGCCTAGGTTTTCTTCTATGCATTTTATGATTTCAGATCTTAATCCAAGTCTTTGATCCATTGTAAGTTGATTTGTGTGTGTGTGTATGGTGTGAGACAGTGGTCTAGTTTCAGTTTTTTTTTCATTTAGCTTTCCAATTTGTATCAGGGAACTTTAAACAGATCCGGTTGTACACATCTTACACTAGAATAATGGAATCAGAGCATCTAGAGATTACACTAATCATAAAATGTTTTATCTTTAAGAGCCAATTCGAATGACACCACTATATGCACAAAGCCAACCCAAAGCCCTCCATCAGAACTTATCTCCTTAATCTTTTCTCCTTATCACAGAGGGAACTTTAAACAGATCCTGTTGTACACATCTTACACTAGAATAATGGAATCAGAGCATCTAGAGATTACACTAATCATAAAATGTTTTCTCTTTAAGAGCCAATTCGAATGGCACCACTATATGCACAAAGCCAACCCAAAGCCCTCCATCAGAACTTATCTCCTTAATCTTTTCTCCTTACCACATTCTACCTTTAGCAGTCATGTCTCAACTCCTAAAAACAGAAACCTAGAGACTATATAACAGATTGTGACCCAGGCTGTTAAGAGTGGGAACTGAGTCCTGTGCATCTTTCTCTTGTCCTCAGCCCCAGCTCAGGGCTTTACTCAAAGTAGCGTGCATTAAGTGATGTGAGATTTAACTGAAGTGCTCCTTACAACTATAGCTCTCCAAATAAGAAGCCTCTTCCTGACAGAAAGGAAATGGATCGCTTGATTTCTACAACTGAATTTAAAACCAAGACAAACTCCAAAATAAGTAAAAGTGCCACACTGACCTACAATATAGCAAATAATATGGGATCTGTGAAGTCAATTCATTGTACTCTAAATAGGTCTTGATCATCCTTGGTATTTCTATAGTTCAGAACAGTGTAGAGTTCATAATAGCGAAAAAGTGAATAAAGTCAATTTTTGGGAACTTGAGACAGAAAGTAAAGTCTACCTTAAAATAACTCTACTGAAATGTTCTATTTTCTGGGAGACTTGGCTTTCTAGGTGAAAGGTTAATTCTCTTTCCCTTGGGCATTTCTGTGAGTGAGCTTTAAAATTGTTAAAAAATAGGTAAGTCTTACTGAAGACATTGGGAAAAAGTATGACGAATACTAACTTTTGCTTTGAAGTATAAGAAAAGTGTGGACTCCCTGAATTTTTATAATTATTTCATTATTATTTTCTCCTTACAATGTTAAATTTTCAGATTGGAGCGAATCTGAACATAAAGCTTTTCATAGAAAAAGGGTTAAGCGAGAGACTGAAATACCTGAGTGCCTTTCTACTGCTCTCCACTACACCTCCAGGACAAATAAGGATGAGTTGTCAAGTTAAATATAAGCAGTCAAGTGACTGAATTATAATTTACTCTGTGCTCAATTTAAATTAGTGTGAGGCTATTAAAATATACAGTATAAATACGGCAATTCATCACAAGCTGTCATGGATGACTTCATTTATTTGCTGGAGTGGCACACGCTCCGCTAAAGGGAAGGAGAGCAAAATCACAGGTCAAATTAAGCAGCTATTCGGTTTTAATTCACTTATTTAATCTGTGGCGACATAATTGTCTTTTACAGTATGTACAACTCAGAAAGGAAATTTGGGAGGATTACAGTCAGTATACAAATGATTAATCAAATGGTCCATTTAAATGCTAGTTTAAAAGCAGCAGAAACCCAAGCAGTCAAAGAATGATAATCAGCCCATGCTATATACAAGAAATTTCCTGTTAGATGGGATCTTCCCAATTAGAAAAAAATAAAAAAGAAATATCAGGAATGCTATCATGTTTTACTCTTTGAAATATTTTTAGAACACATTAAAATGGTACTAAAAGGTTCTGTTTACAAGATGGCTAATGGTATTTTTAGTTGTTTTCTGCTCTACTTGTTTGCACTGTTTTGCTTACCTACATAAATATCACACCCCAAAAAAGCTAGTTAGAAATACATTTTATAAGTTACATAGAGTCATGATCAAATGATCTTTAAAATGTGTTTATCATTATTTTCAAAATACTCTGTGGTAGAATTTTTTCTAAATAAGTTGTATAAAATAAAAACTTATGGTGACTTAATTAAAAATTGAACTTGCTTTTAAAATAGGCCAGGTGATAGTTTCCCACCACTGAAATCTGAGGAGGGAACGATTACAATATCCATTTTTATTTAAAAACCAAAAACATGCAGAAGCTTAAAAATTAGGAATAATTTGAGTAGGAAGGGCTTGATTCTTAAGGGCTCTCCCTAACTGCTTCCGCAGACACTCAAAGTATGGGTTCAACTGACCACTTGAACTGGGAAATTAAATTTCCCTCATGGTTCT